TTCAAATTAATTCATAATAAAAAATAACGATTTTAGTCTGCCATACTTGAACTCATTCACAAAAACAAGTCACTGAGTATATATTTGTAAAAAACTACACTAAATATGTCTCCGTTATAAATTTTTAAATTTAAAACTACATACTTTCCTATAGATTTTGCAGTACCTAAATAACGTATAGAATAAATTTTTACAATATACTAGAAAAGTTTTAGATTAGAGTAATTCTTAAGAAATAAAGCAATACCTCTATTTTGTTACTCTAACTTTGTGTGTTATATATTTCCCTTGACAAACTAACGTTATATTTTGAACTAAAAGTAACTAAACTTTTCACCAAATAGTAATATTTCACATATATAAAAAAATTTAAGACGGTTCTGTCCTTCTTACATTTGCGAAGACTGCCCTGATATCTAATCTATTTTCTTTTTCAAAGTAATTAAGTTGTTCAACCGTTGTCTATAAAGGTATCTCACATCTCCCACATACACACGAATTTGAAAAGCAGCAGAACAAAAATTCAACTAACCAGGTATACCAAGTCCGTGTAAAGAAAACTTTTCATATCCCGAAAACGTCAAGTGTCAACTAAAATTTCTACTTTTAAAGATCAAACGTGCCGCCTCAGAGTGCCAATACTGATTGGTATATATACTGGGGTTCAAGACATAGTCTCTCCAATAGGTAGGCAATTTTCATATCTTGGAGCTGTATTGTTGGGTGCATATACTTTACAGCCTTTTTTGTCTATTTTTAATAGTAATATTTATTTTCTTTAAGTTGGTACTTGAATCATAAAAAGAAGGGGTTTCTTTCCCGGCTCATGCCATGTTTTTTCTTACCAGTGTTGCCAGTTTGTTACAATTGTAACAAATCTATTACATTTATGAAGAGTTTATTACATTATTACATGTCCAATAAATCTATTACATTATTACATTTTCATGAACCTCCAACGATTGATGAATATAAACCTTAAACGTGTGTCCTGATTTTCATTTTACCGTTTACTCCAAACAAATTACAATAATAACAATAAACCAAGCTTAAAATGCCATTTTTCCATTAACAATGTCATTTTAAGCTTCGCCTAATTCTTATAACTACCAAAGAGTACAAAATATAACTATAAAAGAAAAGTCACTCGCGGCATTTACAAAGGAAGTCGCGCTTCAAATGCGGGCCAACAAGTCGGCGTTTTTTCAAAGAGTACAGAGCTAATTGGGCTATACCTAGATAGCACAAATACGTCTTATGGACGTTCTAAAAATGTCCTGCTTGGACATTCAAGACATCCTTAAAACGTCCATTTCACGGACGTGGACGTCTTACGGACGTCTTTGGAACGTCCATTGTTAATAATCAGGATGTCTTAAGAACGTCCATTTAAGGACATTCCATGGACATTTTCAAAAGCTCGAATGAGGAATAATAGGATGTAAGGAAATTAGTGAAATAATTAAATAATTTCAAAAAAAAATTATTTGGAAGCAAATAACCTATAAATAATAAAATTATTGAAACTTTTTCGTCAAATTCATTCAGTCTCTCCTCTACTTTACGCTTTTCAACCATGCCTGGATTGACAGCAGTTGTTTTTTCTTGATTTGGCCATATTTGCCTTCTCATTTGAACCTGAAAATATTTAAATCGCTTATTCAAAATGAAAGGCAGATCAATATGAAAATTCAATCTGTTAAAGTTTGCTCTGCTGGACATTATGAATTCACTAACCTTTTATCTTTAAAGTATTCACTGGAAAACTCCTCTACTTTACTCTTTTCAATCATGTCTGGATTGACAGCAGTCAGTTTTTTCTTGATTTGACCATATTTGCCTTTTCAGTTGAACCTGAAAATAATTTAATCCCTTATTCAAAATGAAAGGCAGATCAATATGAAAATCCAATCTGTTTGTTAAAGTTTGCCCTGCTACACATTATGAATTCACTAACCTTTTAGCTTTGTAGTATTCACTAAAAAACTCCTCTACTTTATTCTTTTCAACCATGCCTGGATTGACAGCAGTCATTTTTTTTCTTGATTTGACTATATTTGCCTTCTCAGCTGAATCTAAAAATAATTTAATCACTTATTCAAAATAAAAGGCAGATCAACATTAAAATACAATATGTTTAAGTTTTCCTTCACTAATCTTTTAGCTTTGTAGTATTCATTGGATAATTTCCACCTTTCTCAAACATAAAAATGCTACAAACTGCAAAAAATTAATATTCATCAACCACAAACTCGAGTTGAATCACAGTCAAATGGCGGGATGATAGAACTTGTACTCGTATAATATGTATATACCATCGAATCATGAACATTGAACACATGTTTTTTTTCTTTTTTTTTTTATAAAACCTGAGTCTTGAGAATATTTCAGTGCTTGAATCTTTAATAAATAAAAATAAAAAATAAAATGACACTTGTCAACAATGTCTCTTTCTTGGATATTGGGACAATGTTATCTTTAATAATTATTTATATTATCTCATTATATATGTTTTTTATATAATATAACCAAACAATAATGCAATGCGAATGTGAATCCATGAAAACACAGTAAGCACGTAAAATTAACGTTTTGCGGATATCTATTTCTTGACGTCCCGAGACTTTACTAAATTGGACGTACTTAAAACGTCCATAATTGGTCCTGGACGTACAGACGTTAAATGGACGTCCTTAGGACGTCCTGTGCTATCTGGGTACCGGGGTTAAGCGGTAAGACGCGCGCGGCGCACAGTACTTAAAATACACAGCGGAATCTAACGTAGCGAAGCAAACGAGCCTTACGCGTTGAACTACACCGGTATACAGCCGATCGAGAAAGGACTGTGGAGGACTGGCGGCTGATCGTGTTAGAAGGCAGTAATTGGGCGAGTGACTCCTCTTTTATAGTTATATTTTGTACTCTTTGTAACTACGAGCGGTGCAAATGGCCCCTAGTTTCTGAAGCTTTGTCAATGCGCGCTTGCTTCGCTCGATCCTTTCCCTAGTAATTAGGCCATTAGTGGGACAAGCGTAGCTAATTCTTTTGGTGTAGTTGTAAAATGGACGCGCAGATATGCTCTGCTATTTTTGCAAATAACTTTTTATATTTGTGATAAAGAAATTCAAAAGCTGCGACAACCGCTATACATACACAAGTAGTGCAAAAAAATACGTTGACTAAAATTTCTATTACATTTTCTTGAAATTTATTACAATTTTGAGAGTTCCTCTATTACATTATTTCAGAGTGCTCTGGCAACACTGTTTCTTACACACACTCACACACACTCAACTGAGCCCTTTGAAGCAAAAGGGTACGGTCTCTACTGTGAAAAACGCTCTCTCTGATTCATTGTAAAAGTGTAAAACATAGATAAATTAATACTGTAAAACGTAGTGCTGGTGATCGCGAGAGGAATTAACTAAAAAAAACCTCTACTGTGCGAAGCGAAATGTAAATTTGTGGAATTTCTAAGACTCGTTTTACCTGCCATTTTTTTTTTTTTATTTGTTAAAGTTTTGTTCGAGCCAATGGCTATTAGTTAAGTTGTTGTAAATAAATATTGTTGGAAAACCTGAGCGCGTATGATTTCACTGATATGAAGAAAGAAAAGAAACATGGATTTTGAAGATATACAATTTGCATCATCTCCAATAGTTTATATTAGAGATTGCTTCCCTCAACATTAAGTACAAAGACAGTACAAGGACCAAAGCTTATATCTCCGTTATTATTGGTATGAATAGAATAAGACAAACGGCAATAAAATCTCATATAGATGCTAGTCTCCAGATATTAAAATTAACGGTGTGTATGAACATTAGCGTGTAACGATGTTACCCAGTAACACCGTTCTACGGACGCCTATGGTTTAGCATTCAGCCGTTTTTGCCAAGCAGAGACAAGTATATAAAGAGCTCCGAATTTAATTCTCGTGAGTCGAACTAAGGTATTGACTTAGCAAGACTCTCCTCTCCTGCTCCTGCAGACGTTATTGATTCTGTAGGCTTCCCGACGTCCAGACCTTTACCTGAAAATGTATTGACTTTGTAGGTTTTCCTTTCCCGTGAATCTCTCCTACGAAGGTATTGACTTCGAGAAACTTCCATTCCCGTAAAGATAACGTAAAAGATGACTTTTCGTATATGATGCTTAGATTAGATGGCTTTTCACAAAATGATGGATATGCCTTTGTTTACATGAACGCATGTCCCGTAGGTTAGTCTACGCATGCCTGTGCTCGTGGCATCATTGTGTATCTACTAGAGTAGAAATAAAATGTGACTAAGGTCCGAATCCACCGTTGTGTTAAACGGAGATTAAAACGACATTGTTAATGTAAAACTGTCATTTTAAACTTCGTTTAACACAACGGTGGAATCGGTCCTTAACACAGAACTTTAAGGCACTCCTCAATTTATATCTAAAACGTGAGAGTCCGTAGTAGCTTTTACCATTTGCTTACGTTTTGAACGATAAGATTTTATCAGCGTTTCGTCTTAGATTTCGTAAACTTGAAATTTTCGCAACAATACTGTATAATTGACACAATCAAACTTAAAATCACATAATACCTCCGCTACTGATTCGTTAAAATTTTAGAGTAAGCAAGTTCAAGATGAAAAAATATCCTGACAAAAAAGAGACGGATAAGAAGGCTTTCAGTCCATATAATTGATATAGGCAACTAATAATGCATATGTGCAATTTTCGATAGATTTTCTCCAAAAACTCCGTAATGCGCTGTATTGCTGCTAAGCATCGCAGAGCTGTACCATTTTTTATTAGCTCGGCAGGATCGTGTAGCGTTCCACTAGTGGGGGAATTCAGCAGTACTACGAAATATTTTAATACCTGAAAACAATAGTATTCCGGCTAATGCATCGATAAAATAATTATTATAAAAATAGATATATTATAAACTTCAATACTACTATATTTCAGATGTACAAAATAAATTATTATTAACAATATACAAATAAATAATAACTGAATGTCTAAATGCCAGCTATAGATTTAATGTAGTTCCTAACTACTGGTATATTAGTATATACTCCAGGCTTCTGAGGTTTTCCACATCCATAACCCCAAGACACTATTCCCATCTGCATTCCATCAACAATAAATGGACCACCTGAATCGCCTTGACAGGCATCTTTACCACCTCGAACGTATCCAGCGCAAAACATTCTGTTAGTTAATGTTTTTCCTATTACTCTCTTACAATGATTCTGATTTAATACGGGAATCTCAGTAACTCTGAGCTGAGAAACCATAGCTCCATCTTCTGTAGTAGAACCCCAACCTAACAACAAAATTAGAATTATTAAAAAATAAATGGAGTAAATGTATTTTTTGTTATAGCTTAATATTAAGAAGGACGTGTCAGAAAATTATTACTTTAAGAGGATTCTAAGGAAAAAAAAAGTACATTTTGATAAAAAAAAAAACATTTTATTCTATCTAAAAATAAGCGAGATACGACATATCAAAAATGGGCTTACAAAATGATAAAAATATTTTTATTAAAAGTGTATACAAAGGAAACAGAGGGAAAATCAATAATTTTCTGCATAGCAACAAATACAAATTGCTTGGTTGCACACAGAGCTGTTTAAGATCATTTTAAAAACGATTTAAATCAAAGATCATAAATCGTTTGCATTTGAACAAATGATTTAAATCAAAGATCGATTTTTTAAAAAGAAAGATTTAAATCAAAAATCTTTTTTAGATTTAAATCTTTTTTACAATTTAAATCAATTTAGGAAAGATTTAAATCTTTTTGAAAGATTTAAATCTTTTCGAAAGATTTAAATCATTTCGAAAGATTTAAATCATTTTAGGAAAGATTTAAATCATTTCGAAAGATTTAAATCTTTTCGAAAGATTTAAATCATTTTAGGAAAGATTTAAATCTTTTCGAAAGATTTAAATCTTTTCGAAATATCTAAATCCTTTTAAACGAAATAAATATTTTCAAAAGATTTAAATATTTTTATAGATTTGGGTAACTCTTTAACAAATGCTTTCGGTAGGCCAAAGATAATGAATACTTAAGTTATGTGATTTTTTCATAAATAAAACGCAAAACTCGATCAACTTTTCTCGTATTTATTTTTTATCGTTATTTGTCCAATGCAATTCTTACGGAAATATTAATTTTAAATAATAAATAGCCGATCAGGATAAAATTTTTAAGGATTTATGCAGCATTGATATCTATAGTTATGAAAATTGTTATTTAAAAATGTCATGTCGATTGGTAAATAGGAATTTTTCAACCCTTTAAAAGATAATTTTGGTATGCCTATGATGCCACAAAACAATGGAGACCTAGTTTTTAAGAAAAGTGATTTTTTTTCTGAAAAATCACTTAAATCCGTCAACTCTTCCTTGAGTTAACGTGCTTAATGTCATACATATATAAACACCCCACATAGATGCACATACATCACTCTTTAAAAATATTTTTTTTTTGTACTTAGGAGACTCTCCCGGAAAAATGCATTTCATTTTCAAAATCTCCCGGCTATGAATAATAAAATTGAGTGGGTTGAATTAAAAGAGTTCTTCTCTCAACGTGAAGTTATTGCGAGGAAATACATAACCAAAGTGAGCGCGTTTGGATTAATTGTTTTGAAAAATGTGTGGATGAATCAGGCAAAGAAATAAAAAAATTTAATTAATTCGCTCTATCTATGCCAAGCGTGTTTATTGAACTGGTCAAAAAGTCATAATCGTCTTAATGCATACATTTAAAATACATATTGTAAAGAGTTTCAGGATTATATCGATAATGAAAAAGTATTTCCAGCTGCTTGCGGTGTAAAAAATACAACTTAACAAAAAAAAATATCGGGTCAAAAATATTGTAAAATTTCATACTTAAGAACAATCTTTAGTCATTGCAATTATTTGTTAAACTTCACTATTTTTTCTTTTTCTTTTTTTTTTCTCTCGGATTTCTGATTCAACCCTACTGACATGCTGGCTAGATTATTATTCAGGAATAGACAGGTTGATAACGATTTTGACGAATCAGGTGATGTAAATCGTTTTAAAAAGATTTAAATCTTAAAAAGATTTAAATCTTAAAAAGATTTAAATCTTAAAAAGATTTAAATCTTTAAGAAAATTTAAATCATTTTAAAAAGATCTCATCATTTTACAGATTTAAATCATTTCAGAAAGATTTAAATCAATAAAAAGATTTAAATCATTTTAAAAAGATTTAAATCATTTTAAAAAGATTTAAATCGTTTTAAAAAGATTTAAATCGTTTTAAAAAGATTTAAATCGTTTTAAAAAGATTTAAATCGTTTTAAAAAGATTTAAATCGTTTTAAAAAGATTTAAATCTAATTTTTAAATAAAAAATCAAAGATACTTTTCAAAAAGATTTAAATCATAAATCAAAAATCATTTTTTAAAAAAAGATTTAAAATCAAAGTATTTAAATCAAAAAATGTATTTAAATCAAAAAATGATTTAAATCTCACTGATAGGTGACAGCTCTGGTTGCACAAATGGCAAGTTGAGACTTTCTTAGTTTTTTACATTCTTCTTTTGATGTAAGAGTATTTCTCAACTTAGTATAACCCCCATGACAGCGTCTTCTAAATATTTTGTCATCGCTACCTCTAGATAGCTCTTCTAGCTTATGGGCTCCCTCCTCTTGCTTTTTTCCTCATGTTTTTCTTGCCTTTTCATTTGTTCTAAGAAGGTTGCGAATAAGAGATTCTCTAATTTTTATCATTGATCTTTCACTGGACGCACAGAATTATACAAAATAAAAGTATTGACAATGAGTGTCCCACAAATTATTTCAATGACCAATTTTTTGAACCAAGCCAAAGACTTTCGAAGACTAGTGTAATAACTAGATAATTGATCAGAGATGTCTACCCCCTGCTTTCCCCTGTTAAACTCTATTATAGCTAAGGGTTTGATTTAATCTTCTCCATTTCTTTTTTTCCCATTAACTTTCATTTGATGATCATGGTACGTAGAAAGCATATGGACATCATGTTGATCGTGCCACTTGAAGAATGTTATAAAATTATTTTGTTTGGAAATTATCTATTCTTTTTTTAGTTTTTAGTTGACTACATCTTTGGGCAGGCCTATTCTATTTTTTCTCACGATTCCTAACAAATTTGTTTTCCTCTCATAGAGGTTTTTGGCAAGTATTAATTATCAGTTATAACCAATCTTCTGGCATTTAACAAGGGATCAAGTAGTCCAACAACTGTACTACCAGGAAGATCGGGTCCTTGGCGTCTTTCATTTTGTCCCCTGTAAATTTTTAGATCCCATGTATATCCAAGTGGGGAGAGCACACTTTGAATAGTTTGATATCATATCTATGGGCTTTTGATGGATTATACTGACGAAATTTCAGGCGACCTCTGAAAGGAACCATGGTTTCGTCTTCAACAACTGTATCACCAAGAGAATGCGCATTTTTTAGATTATTTCTAACAAGATTCAACAAGGGTGCAATTTTTGACAAGCGGCCTTCTGAAGGTATTGTTTTGTCTTCAAAATGCCAACATTTCAGCAACAATGTAAAACGGTTATACTTTATAGGAAGTCGGTGGGCAAGTTCATGGTAATACAATGGGTCGTTTTTCCAGTAACATTCTATAGTAGGGAAGGTTATGAGTCCCATAAACAGGAGCATACCTAAAACAAACAATCACATCACTATAAAAATCAAAGTTGTAATTACTTACCAATAAATATTTTCATTTCTTCTTTGTCTGTATCGTTCCATCTAGAAATTCTTAGCTGAGCATACTAAACGTTTTTTGCGTTGAAGTTCTAAACCATAATTGTTTGTTCGACTATTAGCTCAATAATATCGTCAGTTATAAATAAACTAAAAATATATATGGTTCCATATCTTGAGTAATTTGAATGTTTGTTCTAACCACTGCACTAAATGTAAATCTTGAAAACGAGAGTATGGTTGACGATCAGAAATCGGGATCACGCTCATTCATTTTCTGAAATTTCACTAGTTTCTTGTTCACTTTCATCTTGAATGTCACTATCATCTGTTTTTCATTAGAACTTGAATCGCCATCTTCATTTCCGTAATGCGGATCTGCCACACTATCGTCTAAATCAAACTAACTGGTAGAACTTATTTCGGATAGATTTTCCGCGATATCTTCTAACTCTCTCTGGATTAGTTTACGTTTTATTCCGGACATGGCCCGTGATTTTAGAGGGAAACACTCTCAACTGAGTAACACAACACACCTGTTTGCACGCTCGAGAAAGACTACCAAACAATATGGCGGGCTGAAACACAGAACACGTGCTGATTGCGAAACGTTGCCAAATATTCAAGGTTTTATTTTACGGCCCACATATAGGTCGTGATCGTACATTTAAATTATCACAGAGTCCTGCGAACCACATATGGGGCATACAAATTTAAGTGGGGACGTGTAACAGTTTGCGGACAGTGAACGTGTTAATGCAAATTTATAATTTAAATAATATTTTTTCTATGATCACAATAAAAATATGCAAATATTTTTAATATTTGAATTTGCATATTTGGATTTTTAATACTTTATTAAATATTTTCAACAATAAACCGAGAATAATCTGTTTGTTGTAAAACGCATAATTTACACTATGGTGCGTTATTTTTTATAGAAAGAACCGTGGAACAACTACTAGGTAAACGTCTTAACCCTGGAATGCCACTTGGGATACACTTGTACCCCAACACTTTTGAAATCTGGCGCTAAACGGAAGTGGGCAGGGCAACGAACGCCAATGTCTCATTAGTTTCAGTACGCGGCAAGTCAGTTCGCATGCGACAATCGAGATATACGCAGTGTTTCTTGTTTTTGTAATACGTGTTATTTGGGGTTGGCATGTACCCCAGTGTAGCAGAGTGAGATAATTTAATAAGAGTGAGTATCTGTTTCTTTGTTTGTTTTTTATTACTTTGAAACTATTATAGTTTATTTTTTTATAGTACCTATATAGATTTTTTTTCTTAGGCTACCGGAATAATGGCTGGTCAGAAGAAGTTCTTTGACCTTACAAAATCTGAAGACATAGATGAAATTCATCGCATTCTCTACGAGTCTGAATCAGAGAGTTCTTCGGATGACAGCGACGAGAATGATGCCGTTATACCTGATTTTAGAGAGGAACCCGAAGAGGATGATATACGAGTACGTGTAATTCATGCTAATCCTACACCTTCTACCACACCAGGTCAAACCCAGGATACCTCGCCATCTGATGCGGATTCCGAAGATGACAACGTACCATTGGCAGAAATACAGGCGACTAACATAGATATGGTAAAAATTTTACCAGTTCCTACCAAACTAAGGGGTAAAAATGGGTTTATGTGGTCAGGGAAGAAAGGCTCAATTCATCGTACACCAAAAAGAAATCTCGTCTTGCATTTACCTGGAAACAAAAACGAGGCAAAACATATAAAATCGGAAGCTGAGGCTTGGAAATTATGTTTCACAAAAGAAAATCTAGATAAAATCACACAATATACTAATAACGAAGTGCAAGTTCAACGATTGAAATATGGAAATAGAAACCATGACAGAGATGCTGACGGAGATGACAATACGGTAGGTAAGAGACCCTCTTGGACCAAGGATACAAACAGTGTTGAACTTCAAGCACTTTTTGGACTATTTTATTATGCCGGTGTTATGAAAATGTCTGGAGTATTTACGAAGGAACTATTTGATAAAGACACAGGAATACCTATATTTCGTGCTACCATGCCCGAGGCACGTTTCAGGTTTTTGATAAACTGCCTCCGCTTTGACGATAAAGAAACCAGAGCTCAGCGAAAAGAAACCGACAAGCTTGCAGCTTTTCGAGAGGTATTTGAGAGGTCAATCAACAAAATAACGGAGCTATATGTTCCCTCAGAATATATAACAATTGATGAACAATTGGTTGGTTTTAGAGGCAGATGCCCTTTCAAAATGTACATCCCTTCAAAGCACAATAAGTATGGAATCAAAATTGTGATGTCCTGTGATGCCAAAACCGCTTTTGCACTTGATGCTGAAATTTATATAGGAAAAGGTTCCACACCAACCGATGTTCCTGTCGCTCAGTATTATTGTAATAAACTAACCAGTTCTTTTCAAGGAACAAGTAGGAACTTGACCATGGATAACTAGTTTACTTCTGTTGAGACTGCAAAACAACTTCTGGAGAAAAAAAATTACCGTTGTGGGTACTATGCGGAAAAATAAAAAAGAAATTCCAGAGTCGTTTTTAAAACTCAATGAGAGGGAAATAAATTCTGCTATGTTTTGCTACAGTGGACACCTAACACTGTTATCATACTGCCCACCTAAGAAGACTAAGAAAAAAACTGTAATTATGCTTTCGACAATGCACGAAAAAGGTGATGAGTCATATACTACCAAGTTACCAGAAATTATTCAATTTTATAATTCTACTAAAGGAGGAGTCGATACTTTAGACCAACTGTGTCATACTTATTCTACTGGTAGAAAGACACGTCGCTGGCCATTATGTCTGTTCTATAATTTGTTGGATATTCTGGGATATAATTCAATGATTCTTTTGCGTGGCTCTGGCGAAGCAGATAAAGAAATTATTACCAACAGGAGAGAATACCTGAAGAAGCTCGCCCTTGAACTGGTCAGACCGCACTTGATGAGTCGTTTGGAAACTCCAACTTTGAGACACGAACTCCGCGAAACCATATGCAGGGTCCTCAAGATAACTGCTCCTGAAGAAGTACCTACTAAGCCACCAGCAACAGTGGGTAGGTGTGCTTTTTGTCCCAGAAGCGAAGATCGAAAATCAAGAGTAAGCTGTGCAGTGTGCAAAAAGTTCATTTGTTTACAACATCAAAAAAAAATTTGCTCGGTTTGTGCCGAATGACTAATTCATAATGTGTTCGCGTTAAAAGTGTTTCTAGAGACTTAGTTTAAGTTGTTATTATCCTATAAGTGAATAAATTTTTTGTTTGTCAAATATACGACATATTTTATTTGGGGTACGCTGGTACCCCTGTGTAGCAGATGCGTGTTCTGCAATAAGTGTAGCATTCCAGGGTTAATATATCACGACAGAATAATGAGATTTATGTCGTAAAAAACTAAAGTATTCTAATAGTTTTGTCGAATAAAATCATTTATTAAAATAAGTCGTAGAAAAAATAAAGTATACTAGAAGATTTTGTGGAATAGAAACTTACGTTATAAGCATTGCCTGAAGAAAAATATAATATTGTTACTCAGCACCCTGCGGCTATCATAGGAAACGTACAGATAGAAAAAGAAGTGGAATGTTACTCATCGCCCTACAGTGTACTGCGGTCGTCATAAGTAAAAGTACAAGTAAAAGAAGATAGAATATCCCAGAAATGTCATTACCTGTCAAGAACATTCTAGATGACAGGTCGAGAAGGTCAAGCAAACTATATAAGTCGACGACCTGACGTCAGAGTTCAGTTTTATGATAGACGTTAAACGTTAATGTTATCAGTTGGAGTTCAGTTGTATAATTGTTGTTAAAGTTTAGTTAAAATAAATTGTGATACTTACCAAAAACCAGCGTCACAGTATTTTAGTAGAGTTTTGTTGAAAAAACTTTCATTTATTGGCATTGCTCGTAGAAAAATAAAGTATCTTAGTAGAGTTTTGCCTAATAAAAACTTATTAGCAATGGTCCAATAAAAAATATAGTGCCCTAGAAGATTTTGTTGAATAATAACTTATGTTTATTAGCAATGGTGATAGAAAAAACAGATTTGTTGAAAACTGCTTTGATCGTAGAAAAAAATAGTATTCTAGTAGAGTTTTATTGAACAAAATAGTATATTACGTAACAAGAGTTGTAAGTAACCCATCACGAGGCGTAGTGGGCTTACAACTCGTGTAACGTACTATACTTTTTCTACGCCTACTTATTTTCTTCTATTAAATAAAGGACATATGCTTGTGTGGCCAATCCACAAATTTTCGATAGGTAATGTCGTACCTTTCTTTGGATTTTAGCGGTAACAAATTATGTGTGGCAGCTTGAACATTTTCTAAAATCTCCGGTGGAGTGCTCATAATTTCATCACTTTCCCTACTAACAGAGATATTCGTAGGTAAAGTTGAGAAAATGTTCGAATATAATATTTTGTTACAAAAATTGACAATATAAACGAAACGACGTTTATTTCTACAGCATGCTAAGCCAACGCAATTTAGTTTTTTAAAATTGTATAATGTGTTGCCGACTTTTAAGGGAATCACTTTTTTAATCTAAAATGTATCTCGCTAATGCTAAAAGTTTTGATGTTTTTAAATTGACTAAATTTATGTAAATAAACCAAATAAAATCTTACGTAGACAAAAATTTGATTGCAATTTTATTAAACTAAGAAATGTAAGTTTTCTTATCAAAAGGATCGTGAATGTTATGAGATCTTATTACGTACATGTTATTGTTAAATGTTATTTACAAGGAATGTTGAATTTTTAACTTTTACTGACATGGGCGTAGAAAAACTTTCATAATTAGCATTGGTCGTATAAAAATAAAGTATCCTGACTCACTATTTTGTTGAAAAGTGACACATTTACCTGATATGTCAACAAAAAACTCTCATCTAGACTTTGTAACGAAATACATAAATTATTAAAATTATTGCATCATCAGTATGGTACTCCAATTGGAATCTGTTTGATATTCCTACGTTTCTGCCTATTCCAATTCATCCTTTTCTTTATTTTCTCTTGGAGTCTTTATAGGCCAAGGGCGGCTCCAGGGGAGGGGCCATGGGAGCCATGCCATATTGTGTTTTGATTATTTTAAAATAAAAAATAACGTAATGAAATAATTTTAGCTCACCTGTTACTGTGCCCATGTCTCCTTCTTTGATAGTTACTCCCTCTGGCGGCAAAGGTATTGTTTCAGCGTAATCCGGATCCATTGATTCTGATAGCTCTAGTAATCCTATATCGTAATCTATAGTGGACGTTTTAAAATTTGGGTGCACGTATTTATTTTTAACGGTCACAATTATCCCTCCATCTTCTTTAGATGTAGCTCCTGCTCGAACTGAAAGTAGCGGAGTATATGTTCCTTTAATGCAATGAGCAGCTGTTAAAACCCACGTTGGAGATATTAAAGATGCTCCACAAGAATGGAGTCCAAAATATTGTAGAGAAAGTTGGTAGGGGTAGATTGATACATCTGTGCTCATTCCTCCTATTATTTTGCCATCATGGTAAGTATCGGTAATGTCTTGACCTTTAAAAATAATAAAAAAGAAAAATAAAAACGTAAAATATATGTTTTATTAAAATGACTATAAATTTTCACAAAATTTACTTCTGTGATAAACATACAATAACTAAAAAACTATTGTACAACCACGTAAAACATCTGAATACCCAATAGCAATTTGATGAGCCACTCATTCATATATCTCATGAGGGTCTAAATATTTATTATTCAATAAAATTAATTTTATAACGAACATAAATTTTAAATTTAATTATAATACATAGAATTGCCCCACTTCCTCACAATATGTATAAATAATGTATAAAACTATATGAAATTAATTTAATTAATTAATAATTTAAAACTAAAATCATAAAACTGGCGGTGAATGTGAGGACAGAGCGTGTGCCTTTGGTTAGAAAAGCCCGGTTTCGAATCTGGGCGCTGGGGACTAATTAAATTAAATCTTTTTTTTTCATGTTTATATTATTTTACAAATTAGTAAAATTCATAAATTATTTTAAAATTAGTTTTTTTTTTGGCTTAATAACCTAAATTCATTTTTTAAATTTGTAGATTTTAGTTAGTGGGTCATAGAAATGTACAACTCGACTGGATTTTCCATTCTTGTTGCACAAACTACTATTTTCCAAAATTATGTAATTATTTTTTTCTTATACTAGTTTGAAAAGATTCGTTGAATCGACGCCACTAATTATTCGGTTGTATGTATTATTAGGAAAATGGTCTATTAAGTTTGGTCTACCAACTTCACACCGGTGTAAAACTATACAGAAAATTCCAAAATTTGCATCTATAGAATAGATTTGAGAATAATCAAAAAATATTTTTATTCAATCCCAAATTTCTCTACATTTAACTATCATAATAACATAAAACCTTAAAAAGAAATCCTTAAGTAAATATTTGCTTATCAAGTAACCTACCGGAATAAAAGCAAACAATTCACTAAAATGTCAGATAAGAAATCAATTATTCTATAATTTAGGAAGTTAAATAAAAAAATTAGGAAACTTGAAGGCAAACATTTAAATTAACACAATAAACTTGAGTTCTTGAAAAGAAACAATAGGAAAAATAATATTTCTTTTGGTTAACAAAGACAAATAGGTGACAACTATCTGTACAATTAACGCTTATACGTTTATACACAAATATGTTTGCCTAAGTTATTAGAATTTACCGAAACCCATAATAACAAACAAGAAATGTTTTAGTCGAACTTGGCGACATATCTTTATGCGAGAATAACAAGAAAGTGGTTGACAAGGAATAACATTCCTTTTGTTCTCAAAAATTATAACCCACCAAATATTCTGCAACCGCGACCAATCGCAAATTTCTGCCCATTGTTTAGTTGAAAAGTGTACAATAATTGCTGTAAAGTTGAAAATGAAAAGTAATAACGCAGAAGAATTTACTAAAAAATTTCACAATTATTATGTTCTAAACCCAGTATAATTGATAATACAGTAGCGACAGCCTGAGTCGGCTCCTTTGATGTGGGAGTGGTCAGAGTTTTATTGACAGTTGATCAGTCCTGGATTTGTCAATAGGCCGTATAGGCCGCGGCCTAGGGGCGGCAGATTTCAGAGGATAAAAGTTAAATAAGTTCACTGGTTTTCTCATAGTTTTTACTAATACGTCAAATCCCTATTGAAACTCATTCCTATAGAAAATTATTAATCCTAGGTAACTATTTATACCTATGTTATCTATATTACTACGATTTGCATGTGTGCATTTTCACAGTCACATTTCTTCTAATAAAACTGCAGACTGTCCACTGAAGTCTGGACCAAACTTACTACTGTCTTTCAACGTTTTTGAGGAATCAATCTATGTCCAATGTTTCCCTAACTAGGATATAGCTATCCGCATCGCACTTTCCACTCCGGCTACAAATTGTTCTTGGGAAAGGAGTTTTTCCTGTTTAAAACGCGTGAAAAATTATCAAAGGTCTTCATTGTCTCAAGAAAAAATTAATTTTTCAGCTCTTCTCTACATAGAAGCAGAAATAATGAACACCATAAATTATGATTATATTATAGATGATTTTTCTAGTAAAAAAATCCTGTAAAAAATTGTTTTTTACGCTCTTTCTTAATGACTTATTTATTCGTTTATTTCACTTTAGTTCCTTACTACAAATGAAAAATTATTATTTTAGAAAGGTACATGGGGCGATGAAAATAAAGTGACCTACACTCATAAAAAATATAAATCCGGCACTGCAGTTGACGTTTTCGTCGCCTATTTCTACACTGACAAAAGTAACTTCAAAATATCTTGTCCCTTTCTCTGTTTGAATCATCGAGAAGTAGACACGCCATAAACACTATTTTGCGATATGAGAGATGGACACATTTAATGATGCCAAGACTGACGGAAAAATGTTATCAAAATGGCGCCTTATAATTGAAGATTGGCGGAATAAAAATGTTTTTATATAATTTAAAAACTATTTAAAAAACAAGTATTAAAAGTAACTTTAAAAAACCGACTTCAAAATCGTGCAGATGCCGTTACCATATCTTAACCAAATTTTTATGGGACTACCCCTGAGGTATCCCCTTACTAACAAAAAAGAATCATATAAATCGAACAAGGTGGTAAAGAATTATCGCTAAACATATACATGAAAATGTTTGTATTATGTTATAAAAAGTCGTACTTTCCAGATCAATGGAAAAATGGCACCATCATAGTTATCCCAAAACCAGGCACAGACCACAAAAGAATTGATAATTACAGACCAATCACCCTTCTTCCAGTTTTGGGAAAACTATTCGAAAAACTTATTAAGGTCAAACTATCAGCATTAGTAAACGAACGAATTCCGCAATTTCAATTTGGGTTTAGAGAACAAATCTCCGCTCTGGTACCAACCACTCTGCTGGTTTCCAATGTGCAAAAAACAAAATTGAACAATAAAAAAATCTGCCATTTTCCTGTTGGACATTAAAAAAGCCTTTGACTGTGTCTGGCACAACGGCCTCCTATTTAAACTAAAACTTCTTAATGTGCCTGATGGTCTTATAATTCTTATCAAAAACTTCTTTCAAAACAGAACTCTAAGAGTTAAAATAAATAACCACACATCTCCAAGTTTCATAGTAAATCAAGGTGTACCGCAAGGGTCGCCACTATCTCCGCTCCTTTACAACATATATTGCTTTGATTTTCCTTCAGGTCAGTTACACCTCAATGCAATAAATTACACACTCCAATACGCAGATGACACGGCCTTGATATCGCATGGAAATACGCTGAATCAAATCATCACAGCACTACAAAATCAATATAACGAAGTTCTTCAATGGCTCAATAAATGGAGATTACAAGTTAACCCACAAAAATGTCAATTAATGATACCCTATCAGCATGTAAGACCGACAATACCTACACTCATCATTTAACCAACCAGTCTATCCCATATTCTCAGTGAAATACCTAGGCCTTATTATTGATAATAAGTTGAATTTCAATGAACACACCCTCAGACAAAAAAAAATCAAAACCAGAGCCAAACATTTCTGCCCTTTAACATAGAAAAAAGAAGGTATCAACATCTACACGGCCACTAAAATCTACAAAACAATTTGCAGACCTCTCCTGGAATACGGTCACACTATATATTTAAACTGCCGAAAACCTGTATTAAAAAACGTTCAGGTGGCCGAAACTTCTACACTAAGAATCATTACCAAGTTGCGATATCTTGAAAACCAAACTCACCATCCAGCGAATGAATATCTTTACGAAAAAACTAAGATTCAGCTTATCCTGGAAAGAATTAGAAAACTATCAAAACATTTCTCGAAGAAACGAAACAATCACATGCTAATAAACATTTTTTCGATGCAACGACAAATTGGTCAAGCAAAGTTTAAATACCCAGTGAGATCAATAACAGCAATCTTAAACGAATTTGCCGATGAACAATAATTAGTGACACATATTGTTTTTTTTAAAGTATCTTAATATTCGTATTCATCTTACACATATAGCTTGTAAATCCTCATACATAATACATACTGTACAAATTGTACTGGCTGAAGGACCTAGGTCGATGGCCATTTGGTTGTAAAATTCATAAGCAATAAAGTGCTTTTATTATTATTACATACATTAAAAATGAAGAGTTTGAGGATTTTCTAATGGATCCATTTATTAGATTTTGACCAAATTAATATGGGACCACCCCGGAAGTACCCCCGTTCTATAAAAAAAAAGAATCATTGAAATTGGACACCGTGTTAAAGAATTATAAAAAAAAATTTAAAAAAATATTGCGACGCATTGAGAACCTCCTCCTTTTTCGAAGTCGGTTAAAAACAGAAATTGGATATAATTGTAATTGGTCTGAAGTTTGCTACATCTGATTTGCCCCCTTTTTTAAAGGTCGGGCACACTTTAGATAATCTCCACTTTTGTGATACAGTTGAACTATTTAAACAGATATTCAATAAAATTGTTAGAGGGCGTGCAAGTACACTAGTACAATCCCGAACTATAAACGCTGGGATGTTTTCGGGGAGTTGATATTCTTACAATGAAATCTATTCTTAAGGAAGACAGAATCATAATCCCTAATATTCATTCGGGTCACTAAGATATTCTATCTGCTCATTAACGACAATCATAATCCCAATAACACAAACCATGAATAATTTTCAGACTGTTGCAAGTGCAATATGAAAATATTTAGATTACAGTTATGTGGTGCATCATTGGATCAGTAATAAAATTAGTTTTCAAATAAAGTATCACACTTTCCAATTCATAACAGTTTTGTATAAAACTAAAGAAGTAAATACTCAAAAGTAATGCAATGTCGAATTCTCCATCAGATTATTTTTTGCAATGATATGCCATCCTTGGTACTTTTCCTATTTAAATTGTGCTCCTGTGCTCAAAAGTTAAAGTGCCTATTCTGCAAGTAGAAAAAACAATGTCCCCGATCCAAACTAAAATCGACATGTTTCAACATTTTCTTAAAATTCAATGAACACTGACATATAACAGGGTGAACTGTCTTGTATTTTACAATAAAATTATGGGCCTACATAGTCAATCTGTAGTTTGTTCAGAACATAAATAATATACAAATTAATATTATTACGCGATATAAAAATTAAAATTAGATTGTTATAGGAATTTATTTAAAATATAACATTAAATATAAGTTGTTTCCTTATTTTTACCACTCACTATATACATTTTTTTAATAAATAAATAGAAAAAGAACTTTAAATATACCTTTAATTAGATAATACAATATGAAAAATTAGTTTTTCATAGAATTTCTGCAATATTGTTGAATAAATATTAAAAAACATAGATATAGATATACTTACCCCACACACCTAAAAAACTAAGTAACAGTAGAATTAGCGACATAATTTAGGAAATAAATCTTAAACTACAAGTTTTCACCGTTTATATAAACAAGGCTTATTTGTC